TCAGCCCAAAAATGGCCCAAAAAGCCCTGGGGGGAAAAAATTGACTGAAAATGGGGAAAAATGGAAATAAAATGGGGAAAATGGGAAAAAAAATTGACCAAAAACGGGGGGAAATGGCACAAAAATGGTTGAAATGGAATTGAAATGGGAAGAATGGAAATAAAATGGGGAAAAATGGAATTAAAATGGGGGAAAATGGATTTAAAATGGGGAAAAAGGGAATTAAAATGGGGAAAATTGACTTAAAATGGGGGAAAATGGAACTGAAATGGGAAAAATGGATTTAAAATGGGAAAAGTGGGACTAAAATGGGGAAAAATCGGGAAAATTCAACAAAAATGGGGGAAAATGCACCAAAAATGGGAAAATTGGTTTCAGAATGGGGAAAAATGGTCCTAAAACGGTGAAAAATTGGGGAAAATGAGGCCAAAAATGGAACTAAAACGGGGAAAAATTGGGAAAATGTTCCCAAATCTCAAAAATTCTCCAAAATCCCCCGAAATTCCCAGAAATCCCAAAAAAATTCCCGAAAAATCCCCAAAAAACCCCCAAAAATTCCCAAAAAAATCCCCCAAAAATTCCAAAAAAAACCCAAAAAATCAAAAAAAAAATCCCAAAAAAACCCCAAAAAATTCCCAAAAAATCCCCAAAAATCCTCCAAAATCTCCGGAAACTTCCCAGAAATCCCCGAAAATCCCCAAAAATTAAAAAAAAAAAAATCCCCATAAATTCCCCAAAATTTCCCCAAAAATCCCAAAAAAAAAAATCCCAAAAAATTTTCCAAAAATCCCAAAAAATCCCCCCAAAACTTAAAAAAAAATTCTCAAAAATCCCCAAAAATTCCTCAAAATTCCCCCCTAAAAATCCCCCAAAATACCCAGAAATCCCCAGAAACCCCTAAAAATTAAAAAAAAAAAAATCCCCATAAATTCCCCAAAATTTCCCCAAAAATCCCAAAAAAAAAATCCCAAAAAATTTTCCAAAAATCCCAAAAAATCCCCCCAAAACTTAAAAAAAAATTCTCAAAAATCCCCAAAAATTCCTCAAAATTCCCCCCTAAAAATCCCCCAAAATACCCAAAAATCCCCCAAAATTCCCAGAAATCCCCAGAAACCCCTAAAAATTAA